GAGACTGCATCCTTGAGATACTGAAAATAAACAAGGTCGGAGGAAAGAGTAAAGGAAACAGGAAAAGGGGATAAAGAGAAATGGAGAGATAGGCCTTGTGCAGGAACATTAAAAACCCATCTGTCAGCCAAAAATGTAGACCAAAGGCTGATGAAGTGAGACAGACTGGTGTCCACTAGGCCAAACCTGGCAAGATAGGCTTTGACAAGATAAGAAATGACCTTCATGTCAGGAATTGGGAGAACAGGAAGAAGATCAGGAAGCAGGAATGAGAAGTGGACTGAACAGACCTAGGAATGGGAACAAAGGGTGAGGTTGAAAAAGACCAGAAACCAAAGAAAACAACAAGGACTGATGCAGGGCTGCCTGCCTCAACCTGAGTCTCCAGAGAGTCAGAAACACCACCAAAATCTCCAGACAAAGAAAAAGAGCCCAACAAAGATCATGGAGCTAAGAGAGAGGCAGGCAAACTTTAGTTAGGAGAGTATTCTGACCCAACAAGTCCCGACAGCAGAGGAACCAAGTAAATAAGGATATAGCACAAGTAGTAGTACAAGCTAAAGTGGTGAAAAGAAGAAAAAAATGAAAATCCTTCTGAAGCACGATGAAGTGCCACAGAAATAAGGTGAAGTGACAAGAGGTAATGTAGAAGTATGGCATGAAAAAGAGAAAAGCTATTCAGAGGTTATACTTTTGTATTTCAAGATCTTTATTCTGTTGTTGTATCACGTTACTACCTATCGTACAAAACTAAAAATCCTACCTCAGATAATAAAAAAAAAATTTACCCCCTTAAACTTGATGATTGATTAAAACACATTTTTACAGAAGTTCCTGTCATTTCTTTCAGAAAAAATAAACCTTTGCATTCACACTTTTTTTTTATTCCTGTAAACTCCCAGTGGAGCATAGGGTCGCAACAACACCTCGCCAACGGAAGGTGTTGTTGCAGTTACTTGTAGCAGGTTGGTTTTTATGGGGTGGAGTTGCTAGCCCCGCGCCCAACCCTCCTTCTTTCTCATCCTGGACTTGGGACCAGGCAAAGGCGAAGTTTGGCATGTTTGGTGTGACAGGGATTAGCACCCGCGACCCTCAGATTACGAGTCAAGCGCCCTAACCACCTGGCCATGCCGGGCCTGCATTCACACTTAGTTCACACTAAAGTTAACTTTAAGTTGACACCAGGTGGAAGCCATCCTTGCAAGTAGCAAGCGATGCCAAACTTGTAAGTTCATGCAGGAAATGGTCAAATTTTCTGATAAAAGCAGTTCAAAATCACTAAACCCATAACCTGCTCTACAAAAAAACATTATTTACTTAATCCAATGTCAAAAATGCAACTTCCAATATGTAGGTCAAATGAAAACAACTATATGGAAACAATTTAATAACCACAAATCAACAATCAAAACAAACAATGAACTTCCAGTCACAAAACACTTTAACATGCCTGGACACTCTCTTAAAGATATCAAACTGACAGGTTTTGAGACAAATTTTACATCTAACAGAAACAGGGAAATTAAAGAAGCTTACTGGATAGCACTATTAAATACTGTAATGCCAAATGGCATCAATCTCGATCCCGGGATTGTTGACTTTTGTATGTCTCTGAAAATATTTTCAAAACTAAATTCATAATTAATCTTACTTTACATTATTAGTATTATTCATGCTTTGATTTCTCCATATTGGTATTATTTCCTGTATATGTCATCACATTATCAATTTCTCTATTTCCCACCACCTTTTCCGTTATTTAATTTTTATCTTCATAAAAAGTGGTTCACATTTCTTATAAGTATTATCACACTTAATTCTTTTTTAGCACAAACTAAACCTGACACCAACAACTCTAGGTTATGATTGACTAGTTCTCAAGGCTAAGTCATATTGAACATCTGGTTTACGTGACATCAACATCCGTGTCTGTATATTTCATTACACTTATTAAACAATCCTTTATTCTCCTGAAGCGCTTGAGTTTTGGATCTCATTTGAAAACCATTACAACTATCTGTTGAGTAATTCACAAGAAGTTTGGTCACATTTGTTGTAACACATGCTGCAAAATATTTTGAGGACAGTCTCAAAATGCAGTCATATTTCTTCATGAGGTATCTCTTGATGCCTTCCTCTGTTGTGACTATATAATTAATACTATATTGAAAGATGTTGGACTGCAATGTTGGTCGTCATTTGTTCCTTGGCTGGAACATCATAAACATCAGAAGCCCTTACTGATCTGCTTTCTATAGTTATCTGTAAAGGTAATTGTTGTTCTCAGAGATGGTGTCTTGTCAAACAAATGTGGGAATATGTCCACTTCTATTCAGCATGTAACATTATGGTGTTCCTTTTATGTTACAAACCTACAGGCAGATTCCTTAAACAATAAATATCTTTTTCAAACAGATTAGATGTAAACTTTCAACAGAAATATTCCTCTCAAGTTCAGCTAATTCAAGTTTCTCAGTTGATCATTACTGGTGACACTACAGATCAGCTTTTTCTGTCACTCTGTTCCAGTAAGATGATCTTTTGAGCTTCTCCTATTCAGCTTTGGGTCACTTTTACCCTTGTTTTCTGTCAAAGTTGACAACTTCTTGAAATATCTTGCAATGTGATGTCTCTGCAATATCTGCAAACTTTTTGTTTTTCCATACTTTCACTTTTTTTTTAATCTTTGGAAAAGAAGAAAGATCCACCTTTTGAAAGTGCTCAGGTTATAGGGTTTATCATTTTGTATCCAGAATACTAGACATTAAACTTGCTGTATTCTGCTTTCAGAGCAGATAAGGCAATATTAACCAGCACATTAGATTACACTGTTTTGAGTGCATTTTCTGAGTTAGCTGGTGTGATGAATTCCAGCTCCAAAATAAAATTGAATGGTTTCCTTCAAATTAATACTTCTTGATCATTTCAATGTAATATACATATCTTCACCCAGAACGACTACAGAATACCACATGTTTAGCATCCTCTGTCAGTTTCTTTTTTTTCTCTTCTCTCAAACATTGTTTATAGTAAGTTTTTCAGACAGGTGGACTAATCGAACTAATAATTATTACAACTTTTTGTGGTAAGTTAATCATTGATTTCGCATCTAAACGGAGGACTTATTTCTAATCACTATCCATTCATAAAGAAATATTCTTAGTGGTCCTGATGTATATGTTTCATGGAATATTCTAACATAATTTGTATTTTTATTCTTTGAGTAGTGAATATGGAGTTTAACTTGTGGTTTAAATCATATAAGGAATTTGTTGATAAATACAGTTCCTGAAAGCATAGCTGTACAAAATTACACAGACAAATTTACTCCAACTGCTGTGGGGTGGGGAATGAAGTAAACTATAGCAGATATTCCTTGGCACTGGCTGACAGATATCCAGAGAATCTAGCAAGCCTGCAATCTAATACTGATACTTGTCCTTTATCTGTCATGGTCATTCTTTGATCTCTAACAGTAGTTACAATTTTTTGATACAAATCTTTCACTGATGAGGTAAACTTAAGATACTCCAGTAATCTTACCATCTACAGTTCCTAATTTTTAAATCATTAGCTCAATGATCTATTTTAAGTAGCAGTCTTGGTAAATAACATTTTTAAATAAATGTAAACCTACAATCAGTGACTTCATATGAAGTCTATACAGTATCAAACCTGATCTGCATGGCTTCTTAAAGTCCTCTATACATACCTTGAATAAATGGAAATAACATCCACAATGTCTTGCATTACTTTTTACGTACATATTTGCTTTTGTTTTTTACACTACTTGTATTGTTGCCCTAATACATTCTTAAATCACTGGTCATAATCTTAATCATGCTCCACCTAGGACTATCTGCATCCTTAGTTTTATAATTAATTTTTGGTTTGTTCTTCCATTCTTCTGTTTTATACTTCCAATTTTCTGTTATGTTCCTTCATTTTGCTTTTCAAATCTTCATGTTTTGTGAGAAATCTCCAAAATACATATGGTTTCTCTACAAATATCCTTACCTGTAGTTATTTTTGATCCTCAATCCCAACACAAAATGTTTAGGAATCAAGTGGATTGTTTTTTGGGACTGTCAGATCACTAACAGACTTGTTAAGAAATAAAACTATGTATAGAAATACAACAAAATATTTAAAGTAATTTTAAATCTCCTGTTTAAAGTGTTCTAAATTTAAATGAGTAATTTGCTGAAGTTAAATTTCTTCCACATATGAAAATCAGACAATTTATTTTAAACAATTATGACTCCAACTATGCCTATTTATGTTTAGATGGGGATCAATAATCTTACAATATCCAAACAAAATTTTTAAACTCATTCACTTTACAAGGGCTCTCTTTTTCATTAGTTATCAAACATTTTTTTATCTAATCATTACTGACTATCATTCTCTTTGAATTCATTCAATAAAAACCATCTAAGACCTTCTGATATTGACTTATTAATATAACCAAACTTCTTTCTCAAGTTACTAAAATACTCTCAACTAGGCAAACACTATTCTTGTATTTCAACAAAATCCTAGCCTAATAAGTATTCCTGCCAATCAAAACACTGCATCTACATACACAAATGTATAACATATAATTACAAATAGTAATCAAAAATTACAGATCAACAAAATCACTTCACAAGAAACCATTTCAAAAGTAAAAATAACATGGTATTTCATAATATATTTCACAATACATAACTTTATTATAATAAATCTTGTATCATCTTTCATTGAATACTGTGTTACAGTCACAGAAAATGGGATAAAGAATGAATGTGATAACCACTGATCTTGGTATAAAATTATTACTGGGTCTAGAAAATGTTCTTTAAAACCTTTGGTAGATCCTGGAATATATTCTTGTAAGGGTAAACAAACCCTTAAAAAACATGAAACTGGCATGTAGTGACAAGATATGTAAAAATTTTGGAATTATTTGTTATTAAAGTGAAAGAACTCTTAGGAAAAAATTATACTGTAATCCACACCTGTATAACAAGAGGCTAGGATTAAGTTTGCTCATATCATCTTCTTGTGTTGTATCATCATCATCATCATCATTAGGACTAGGAGTTTCATCTGCACTGTCCATCTCAACTCCTGGTAAAATGAAATTCAGTGTCGTTTACATACCAATCTCTAAATTTTACCGCAAAGGAGGGGAAAAAAAAAAGTTATGCTGTGTAATACATATGTGGTGAATTTTAGTGTTTGAAATATACATAAGAATAGTTATATATAACCAACTAAAAGTACACGGCATTCTTTCACAACTAGAATACAGCTGGTAGTCACTAACTTTAATATTTCAAACATAAAAGTGTCATGGTGGTTATTGAGCATTATGCAGAAAATAATGTTAAATACCAAATATAAAAATACATGAAGGTCACTTGCTATAATGTTGCAACAAAAGTATGCTACTAGTTATGATATATCAAATTTAAAAAATACAGTAATACGTGTTTGTCATTTGCTGTAGTGTAGCAAGCAAAAGATTACTACTATAGTTATATCATATATAAAATATATACGATTATCACATGATATATTAAACAGCAAATTACTGCTGTATATATACAATATCTTAAAGACAAAAAAAATACTGAAACGATAATACTGGCTGAAATGAAATAAACAAAACATCATTAATTGTAATGGACAACTGTATCAGTAAACAATGGCTAAAATGTACAAAATATTAATTGTTTGTTAGGAAATATAATACAGTTAATGGTGATAAGCTGTAGTGTAGAAGCCAATAATATTTGTAATACACACACACATTTTACATTTACTGCCCAAATATTAGAAATCCTAACTAAATAACATGGTGAATCACCATTTGCTTTGATTAGAGCCTGGCTATAGCATGGTAATGACTCCACTAGTATCTAAAAGATGTTTGTTTCAATCATTTGGTCATTTCTTAATTGAATGTGCACAGTCCACTGGATTGACCCCATACTGAAGAAGTAATGTTGGCTATAATTCTGAATTTATAATAGATATCTAAAGTTTTTTCAGCATCCCTGGATATTGTATCTGTTTTTTTCTCTACCATGAACTCTTGAGAAATCAGCAGCATGGGATAACATGAAATGATAACTCTGACATCAAACTCATAATACTATGTTGAATCGCACTCTCTACAAGGTTGAGGCATGCACATTTTAACCCCCCACCTGTGCACACAGGGTTAATCAATATTACCTCCTCTCTAGGTGAAGTTGACAGTAATGGAACATGTGTCCTGATAGCTTCTCCTATCAGATCTCACAGATTCTCAATAGGATTGAGATCAGGGAACTGTACAGACCAGGGTAGATAAGGGAAGTCTGTGTCTTGCTTAATGAACCAGCCACAAATGATTTTAGCTCTATGTCTACTAGCTTTATCATCTTGAAAGAGTATTAAGAGTAACAAATATTTTTATTTCTTTCTGTTGAAGTTCATATGACATGCTGTGTTGTAGCCTACAGAGTGCATAATTCTTCTCATGACTCAACATTAAGCATCCCTTCATTGATGTAATTTTAGTGTCTACTGACTGACAGACAACACACTAGTGTATAGTGAAGAGAGCGATTGAAACAAGTGACCCCTCCAGGCAGTCTTCAGCTCCCTTTCTAGGAAATTGAAAAACAAACATACAATCCACCATACAATTGCATTCATTATACTTAGTTATTTTGTTTTTGAGAACTGAAAACAAATTTTTTGTTCATGAAAAATTATGAATAGATTTACAAACACATGTAATCTATTTCTGCTAAAATCTATATCTATGTCTAAAAACAAGAATTGCATTTTGTAATTAATGTTGACGACTAACAGCCTAGGAGGTATGATCACAAAATGAAATAATAACTTGACAAGTCCAATGGCATTGTATATGACTAAATATATTGGTATTTTACTTTAATAAAAAATATCTAATTCAAATTTGTGTGTACAAAATTCAGTTTTGTACTACGTGGATAAACTAGTGTAAGGTTTATTAAAAGCTCTGTAATGTATGAAACTAAATCTGTAAAAATGTTTAAGTTCCTACAATTCACTCATACTACTAACACTCCCTATTACAAAAAAAAAGACAAAAAATTACAAAAATATTATCACCTGTACTTCCAGGAATATCTTGTTCTATTATTACCCCAAATACAAAAATATCTTGGTCTTTAGATGAGAATTCTTTTTCTATATCCATTAAACTGGGACTGTCTTCAAACTTATATTTCTCACTTCCTGTTATTTCCCCAGTACTACTTTTGACTGTTTTCTGTTTATCCTCAATATTAGACTGTTCCCAATTGTTCATTTTGTCTTTCTCTTTTTCATTATCATTATTAATTGGTGATTTTTCTTCATTGTTGGATTTATTTTCTTTGTTATCACACTTGATTAATGACTGTTCTTCATATTGATTGATTTCTTCTTTCTTGTCTATGTTAATACTTGGCTGTCCTTCACTGTTGACTTTTTCTTCTATCTTCTTAGCATTTGATTGTTCCTCACTGATGGGATTGCCTTCTTTTATTTCACTCATAATATCTGTTTCTTTTTTAATGTTAGCTTTATTATCTATTTCGATAACTTCAATACTTGACTGTACCTCATTGCTGGCTTTAGGTTCTTCCTCATCTCTCTCAGTGCTTGACTGTTTCTCATTGCTGGCTTTGGATTCTTCATCATCTCTTTCAGTGCTTGATTGTTCCTCATTGCTGACTTTGGATTCTTCCTCATCTCTTTCAGTGCTTGATTGTTCCTCATTGCTGACTTTGGATTCTTCCTCATATCTTTCAGTGTTCAACTGTTCCTCATTGCTGGCTTTAGGTTCTTCCTCATCTCTCTCAGTGCTTGACTGTTTCTCATTGCTGGCTTTGGATTCTTCCTCATCTATCTCAGTGCTTGATTGTTCCTCATTGCTGGTTTTGGGTTCTTCTGCATCTCTTTCAGCACTTGATTGTTTTTTAGTGTTAGTTCTGTGATCTTCTTTGCCTATCTCAGTGTTTGAATGTTCTTCACTGTTGGCTTCAATTTTAAAAGAACTACTTGATTGTTTATCATTGTTAGGACTGCTTTCTTTCATATCACTTTCAATGCCTGATTCTTTGTCAATAGCAATGCTTGGTAGTTCATCACTGTTAAGTGTATTTTCTTTCTTTTCATATATATCGCACAAATGTTTTTCTTGGTTTGGAATGAATTCTTTAAACTCTAAAGTAGCTTCCTCAGAAGATCTAAGCCTCTTCACATGCCCATGTGTGTCAAAGAAATGTTCTTTTTTATCACGGAAATCAACTGCTTCAGAAAAACGAAGATCTTGTGCTATAAATGCCAGAAAGAATTTTTTATTGTTCTATGAGAAAGCAGACTATACATATATAGCATCAAGTTTATTAAACACTTTAATAATACTGTCACTATCAACTACAAATTTAAACACACTTCTCTGAAGCTTTTCATTACTGTGTTATTTTGGTTTTAGTCGTTAATTAACTATTTAGATTTTAAAACAAAAGGATAATATAATAATAATAATGTATTGTTACTTTGCACAGTTAAAAAATATATATAATGTAACAATACACAAAATAGGATCAACAAACACAGAACATATAAAATTACAGATAAAGTATGTTATCTGATAATCTAACTATTTTTGTTATATGTTGTTTCTATGATGCATTTTTAGTAATGTATTCTTTTGTTCTTAGAAATATTTTCATACTGTAAATTTACATGTTCAATCACTTGTCCATTTCTCTTCATACATCTCTTCTGAAAGTTCAAACACTTGTGTGCTTCTATTATTACAGCTGCTCTGAAAACTCAAATAGTTGTCTACTTTTGTTACTACATCTAATCTGAAAGATAAAATGTTTTCCATTTATTTTACTACATCTGTTCTGAAAGTTCAAATGGTTGTTCACTTTCATTACTACATCTATTCTGAAATGTCAAGCATTTGTCCACTTCTGTAACCACATTTGTTCCGGAAGTTACTTAACAGCATTTTCAGCATAAATATTCTGTTTGTTAATTTTGTATCATATTACCACTATACTGGTTTATATTGATTTTTAGCATTAACAGCATACTTGTTCTGACTGTCAGTTCCATCCTGTTATTATTATTTATAGTTCAGTACCAGTATTACCAGTGTATTTATTCTAAAAGTTAATTCAATACAAATAGTCTCATTACATCTGTTTTAGACTTTTAGTTGTTATTTTAGAACCAGTATTATTAGTACCCCTGTTTTTGATTATCAGTTTACTTCGTATTGTAAGGAGATATGATCAGGTTACCAGTTGACAGTTTATTACTAGTATTTTCTTTGTACCTCTCATTTGTTGGTGCTATATCTCTGGTACTGTTACTCTGAGCCTGGGTGCTTTCTTGGAAATTAAACCAAAAAACAAAGGACCCGACAAAGAGCGATAACTTACAACTAAATGGCAGTAGGAAGTAGGATAAAAGATTAAAGGACAAAGACTTTTATTCCATGTTCATATAAATCAATAAAACAAAAAGATTATTTAGCTCCAATATACATAACACATAAAAAAAATACATTTATACAAATTAAATTAATTCTGTCATGTCAAAGAGAAAAGCACCATTCCTGACAGCAACTGTATAACCCAAAATAGTCTTCACTCTAACATTGCAATATTCTACTTTAACAATTATTAAAACAAGATGTTGGGTTTTGAATTAATTCCATGCACTTAACCACTACTTACTTGCTATTCAGTATCAACATAAACACTGCTCAGTTTTACTTTCATAAAATAATCTTACACTAGACATTAGTCAGATATAAAACCAAGTAAACAAAAGAAAAGGAATGAAAAAAACAGAATGGCAGAGTTTTGCCTAACATAAACTGTACGTACAAGTTAAAACTTATAATGTAGCACTTGAAATCCAAAACTTTTTTAACGGGGGTCTCCATTGGTTCTAAATAACATTTCATATGTACTAGATACGCAAAAAATTAAAACTGGAATAATACCAGTGCTAGGTAGAATCTGTCTCTTACAGCTAGAATCTCAGCAGATAAAGGAAAGCCTTAATCACTGCTCACAGTAATTCACTGATTGCCAAACACAGTACCTAAACCTGGCTGGTCCAACAAATTATATCTTTCATAGTTATAAAGGTAAGCAATAATATTTTCTCCATTTTATATAATATTTACAACCCATTCCAAATTATAAACACATTAATTATGAACAGTAACTCAAAATACAGAAACATCATAACCAGTCTCTTTTTTTGTTTCTCCGAGATACCTTTTGCTACATGGCTCAAATTTTTATTGAGTGAATGACATCACACACTTTTCACATATCTTAAATGAAGTTAGCACTAAATGCTGAACCTGATAGGCACCATATGGCTGGATTGACACATGTAAGTTTAATCAAATTCTTGCCATTTCTCTATACTTTGCTTTCATTTAGCTCTTCTGTCACATAAAATGGAAAGCAACAATAAAAAAATATTCAAATTTTAATTTATATAAACTTTGTGAGTTTATCAAAGCAAGAGTTTCATTAGCTTTTGAATTTTTAAACGAACAATTTCAAAAGGCAGATTTTACACTATTATAGAAACTCTCAAATTTCTGAGAAGCCAGCATTCTCTGTGAAGCCTAGACTGAGCGGACTGTAATACTTTTTAACTGAAATGATTGAATCAATTTAATATCTCCTTAACATAAGATATTGCCAAAAAATATCCGTTTTATCAACAGGCAATTTACATTACGCAATAAAGTTGAACAAGCTTAAAAAGTAGAAATAAGTATGTTTTTGATTAGTGGTAACAACTGTTTCTTTTACACTTTTGGAGAGAGGAAGGAGACACAGTTACGCATGTAAAAAGAAGCACACCTTACAAAAAAAAAGAAAATTTAAACTAAGAATACTTGTAAGGTATCTAGATCTTGCTGTCTAACTTTATTGTTACTTAACATTTATGCTATTAAATAACAACAAGCCTTACCTTATGTAATATTAAAAATCCACCTTATGTGTTCTGTTTCTCTCTTTATTCATATGAATTGTACATACTTTACGCCTTTTAACTATATTGGTTTTCAAACGAGATCCAAAACTTGAGAGCTTTCAAATAGTTCATTATTCTTCTTCTAAAAACCACTACAATGTTTGTACGTGATCATGTGCACTAACTTCTTAATCAGACCTTTTAACCATATTTATCAATTATTAAAACTGATGATGTCATATTCCACTAGATTAGTTTATTTCCAGTACACTCAGCAAAGAGAATCTAGCTGTTATTTTAGTATCAGAACCAGCAACATGTTTATATTGATTTTTTAACTTGGTCTATTTCTTTGTTTAGTATCTATAGTGTTAATATATTTTCCTTATTTAACCCTACATATATGAACGTGGATGTTTTGTGTATGTCACAATCTTCCAAAATTTCATCAATTAATGTATTACAATAAATTTGATGTGAAAATGTAGTTTATAATTCAAATTTTATATTACCTAAGTTTTAACTTCTTAATTTCTAAACTAAATATTAAAAAATCTCATGCTCATTTTTTGTGTCATGTGACACACCTGATCTCCAATTTCTCAACTTCAGAAATTTGTAACATCAATAATAGACTTCTACAGTTTCCAATCAATTAGAAACATAAACTGAACATAATTAAAAGCAAAAAACCTAAAATTTGAAACTCCTAGCTCTTTAATTTGTTTTTAGTAAACATTATAAGTCTTGTAGACAAAAACATTTTTAATATTTTTACAGAAAGATAAAAGGTGATAATGGTAACAGATAAAATCAGTAAAGAAACACTATGAATGGTATATTTAGTACCAGTATTAGCTATAATGATTGTTCAGAATGACAACGAATTTTGAAGTTCACAAACACACAGATAACAAACAAAAACATATAATTTAAGAACTAAAAAAGCAAGACTTTTCAAACAAGATAGAAAAAAGTCAAGTTGACCAGAATAGTTACTTTGTACTTCATAAAATAAAATAACATCAAAAAAAATGATTACTTGATAGGTTTAAAAACCCAATGCACAAAGTAAAGTCTTGCAAAACTACAAAAATTTATAATATGAAGGGATTGTCTTAAATAATTAAAAAAGACAACCAGTGAGAATCTCCATTTATGTAAGAATGATGTATATAGAACACCAGTTAAGATTTCCTACTAATCATACACATAAACAGAAAAATTCTTAGTTGAAGATGAACTTGTAATTATATTAAAATAAGAATTTACAAGATAAGCCTAAAGATTATAAAAAAAAATGTGAAAGAAATCCATACAGGACAGCAGATCATAAGAATATTGTTGTATGTTCAACTAAAGGTGCAATAAAAATATATTTAAAATTAAACTTACTAAAATACCACAGTATACAATCTAACACTATTAAGAAAATACCCTAAACATGATGAGTTTTAACAATGAAAGTCTCTTCACCAGTGGATTAAAAAATGTATACTTGAAACAGTATTACACATACTTGTTAGTTTATTGAGGTATGCAGGAATAAAATATTTACAAATATGTTTACACTTTCAACAGCTTTAGAAGATTGTGTTATACTCAATATATATCAAACTAAACTTCTGTATAACAAAACATCATTAAAAACACACCTTTATTTTCTGATCGTAATTTCAAACTCCTACGTCGCCTATTCTGCTTACGAACACTCCACCTTCTTGGCATCCCTCTCCCCATCTTTTCTTCATTATTGGCAGGTACAGAGAAAGGGAAGCTTTGAACAAAGGCTTTTTTCACATACTTTGCTCTGATCCAAGTCTCTCTGACATTTCTATAAACATCAGTATGTATCACTATCTTTTATTCAAAAACATTTCACTGAGTTAATAACATGTAAGAACTTACTAGAAGCTTTATATCTCTAATATTACTAAATACACCACTTACTCTTAGCATTGTCCAGTATCACTAAATACTTTACTAGTTTATACTAATTTCACCTCATTAAAGTTACTAAACACTTAATTTGTCATCACTAGCTCCAGATTATATCAAAAATGGTACTAAATACAATATTAGTTACCATTCTTTTTATATTATTAAACACCTCATCAATTACATCTAGCTTTAGAACTATCTCTTTAGGTGTTACTACATATATTACTAGTCATAATAGTTATGTCTAGCTCAAGTTGTATTTCTAGTGTTGCCAAATATGTCACTAATTGTCATTAACTTTTATTATACCTCTTTATTATTACTGCTTACATCAATAATCAGTTTTATTGTCAAATACATCAAAGTTATCACTCATTACAACTCTTTTCTGTAACTATATACATGTGTAGTTACCTCTAGCTTTAAATTTATCTAATCCAAACATTTTACATGTACAAAACAGCAAAGTTAGAAGAAAACATTCAGTCATATAGAAATGTGGTATTAAGAAAAATTGTCAGGATATATAAATTAACAAGCCTTTAAAAATATAATGTAAAAGTGGATAAATTAAAAAAGAAAAATTTCTGAACGATTTGAATCCCATTTTATTTATGTTGCTGCTTGTTATGATTGTACTAAAACCAATTTTTTGGGGTTTAATTTGCTGAAGTTAACATTTTTCTTACCCATAAATGTAATTCTGATGGATATTCACCTCCAAACACAAATTTAGTTCTCTTCCTCATGCATCTGCCAGAGAGATTTGCATACCACAACCCTTGAGGTAATTCCTACCTAATTTCATGCAAGTTTATTTGAACTGCACTACTGCATGTAATAATTCAAGGATACTTCAAGAGGTCTTGCAAATCATCTCATCTCACAGTTGGCACAATTAGAGCCAAGACAGATGAAATGAGTGCTTTCCATTATTATGGCTCAATGCAGATTTTGGGTAAGTATACCCTGGGAAGCAATACCAGCCACCTGGTAGGGACCTATAAAATGCAAAAGTGGCTCTAAACGAGAAATACTATGTATTTTTCCCTGAAGACAATGGAACGATTGAAGAATGGTGACCTGTGGAAGTCATCAGAAGATAAAACAAAAACAATGAATACAAAAGGGACAGATGCTAAGTTTAAGGGAAGACAAGGAAAAGATGAACAGAATACAGAAAAAAAGTAGAGGACAGGCTGAAAGTGTAGTATGGTGTCTGACACATAGACCATGGCCAACCTCAAACCTGGTAAAAAAGACCATAGATGAGGTCAGAAGGAGGTGAAAAAGAAATGGGAAGAGGAGTGAGGAAATAGAAAAGGAGGAAAAATGACTGTTGGTATACAATTAGACTGACAGCATGAGAAGAGATGGGCATCCACAGAAATGTGAGTGTGTAAAAGTCACTGACAAGAAGAGTGAAAAATTAGACTTCTGGTAGAGTGAAGGTGAGAAAAAAAGATGAAGGCCTGGAATACAAAATGGGAAGGCGAGGAGTAGACTGATCTAGACCAGGAATAGGAGTAAAGTGTAAGGTCGAGACAGAATAAAAAATCTGGGAAAATAATGAGGCTAGAAGCCAAATAATATCAGAGAAACCAGGGAGAAAGGAATACCACTAAAGACATCCAGGCAAAGAAAGGAAGCTAGGCAAATAACAAGTACACAAGAAGAAGCAAGGAGTACAGTAAAGAGGAACATAACTTGACCCAATGAGTCTCATGGGAACAAAGGAAGGAAAGATACAGCAGAAGTAGAATAGGCCAAACAGAGAAGGGAACAAACTCTACAGGAGCCTACCTGAGGCATGAAGAAGTGCCTCAGATAAAAGGCTGAGTTAGGAAAGGGAATACAGGAGAGAGAAAAAGAAGAAAACATGAAAATGCAGAACCAGAATATACAATAGAAAGTAAGAGACCTAATCCTCAAGCTGGCCAAACAGATACCAATGACAGGGAATCAAGAAAAGGAAAGGATGAAAGTCTACAAATCATGACTAAAGTAATCACAACTGTGAGGGGGACAAGGCATTTGAGCATGAAAAAGGAGCTATTAGTGAAAGGAAACATTATAAATCCTAATACAGAAACACAGATCAGGAAGTAAGAAAATGATAAATAATAAAAATGCAGGCAAAAGAAAAGAACATACTTAATAATGAAATCCAGAAGGAGATTGAAAGTTTGAGGTCATTTCATGTATAGTAGGGTACTACTGAAAGGAAATCACGAGAAAGTCATAGTCCAAGAAACTATTCCCAACTGAGGAGAAAGAAATCAGCTGACAAGACTGGATTAAAAGGCCCATTAGGCATACGGTAATCCACAACATGTTGAACAATGGCTTCAACAATCCTGACAGTTAATGAGCCTCCAAAAGCCATGTCTGATCAACACAATGTTGATGAGAAGAATGAAGTTTCGCAAGTACAAGTGCATAGGTAGAGTTATTGTGCCTGGAAGTGTATTGCCCTCCTACTGGTGGAGGGCTATTGTCATATGATGACATCATCACATAGTAATGCAATTCAGGTGAAATTAGGTGAGAGTTACCTGAAAGCTAGTGGCATGCAATCCTCTTTGGCAGATGCACGAGTAATATAGCTAAATCTGTGGTGAGGTATCATCTCGGAAATACATTTTACCATTCAGTGTAACTTGTGCTTTTGTCAAAATTGTGTTATTTGGAAGAATTAAAATAATTTCAATTAGCAATGGCATATTATTTTAAAAATCAATGTATTTCATTCATTTAAAAATTTCATTTATTCTGCAAATGTCGGTACATTATCACTAGACAATAGTACTGATAGTATTCCGAGATTTCATTAAAACTTGTGATTAAGCTGTACAAATAGCCAATATTCAAGTGCAGTTTTCTTACAAATGTCATTACTGAAACCGAATTATTACTGAATAAATATATTTTACAATCTATTATAATAATACTCAGTTTTTCTCTGTCCTGAAATGTGCATGCATACTTGATTTCAATTGATGTAAATATACTTTGGTAGACATTTTGTACAATAAAATACTAAAAACTTACCAAAGTATTTAAAACGGTCTAACAACAGGTCATAGAATAATGTTATAAGCTTATTTATTAATAGTATTAACTTTAGTAAAGTTTAGTAAACTAAAGCAAAAAACATACACATGTTACAGTGTTAACTTATCTCTGTATCGAATATAGGCCGACATAATAAAGGCTTAACTAAAATTACGTCTAAGACAAGTGGATTTATAGATTTCAGTGTCTGTGATTATAATTCTTTTATATTATTCTAGAAATTCTGTAAATAAAGTACTGCTGTAATAAAGATACTACTTTGACTGTAAATGTTTTACGTGTCTCTACTAATACCAAATAAATCAAAGTATGAAGTTCAAAATTATTAATTTAACAAAATGAATAATAAATGACTACATAAAGTTGAACAGTTTCATTTATTTTATTAATCACAGGCTACTATGAAATTTCTTCCCTGAATTATATTTTATTCCAATTTATTTTAATTTTCAGCTAGCTTCTGTTTAAACATTCTTTAAAATTCAAAAATGGTTTACAGTTTAATTTGATTACCACCTGTTAAGTGGATTATGTTATTAGATGACAGTTCTAGTTAACATATCACGTGTTAAGAATAATTAAAATAGTGCTTTTAAATATTTCAAAAATAAGAAGTGCCATCTATCCTGGCACATTAAAAAATACAAAAAGTATATCCTCATATTCTTCACCAAGTTATATGTTTTAAAACAAACTTACCTAATTACCACAAGTGTTTGAAGATGAAATTTTATAAACTACAAAAGTTTTAATATCTTTGAAGATAAGTACCCTACAGGCAATGACTTTCTATACTAATTGACACAATAGCTGAAATGCTTCATTACAAATACATACATTATCTTCTTAAAAGTAACAGGTATGCTGATACTTTACAGAGAAATAATTTGGTCAGTTTTAACATAAGAGGTTATCATAACTAACTTTTTCATCAACTATAGCAACTGAAAAAACAAAAAAGCAAAACTTCTTACCTAAGACAATCTGGTGTGGCCCGCACAGCAATATTTTCATTAACATGTGCTTCATAGATACTGTTAACAAATGTATTTCCTAGTTCTCCCATCACTTTCAGCAGCTCTGGTTCCCAGACATCCAAAGTGATAGATCTAACCTTTGACATGTGTACTCCCAAGCTTCTACATAGAAAAACAGTTACTTTTTAATAACTCAAGAACTATAATACTTAGAACAATGCCATTCACAGTTTTCAGACTGAAAAAAGTAAAGATAAATATCTGCTATTTGAAATGTGTAACTTTCTAGATGTAAATCAACTTTAAGCTAAACAAAAAGATATGATAACCAAGTCTTAAATAGAAAAGTTGTTCTTTTCCTGAAAACTAAATGTCAGGGGGATCTTTCACTTTAAGAAAACTAAACATGATGTTTGTGTATTAAACACAATCTTCTAGTTTAGATTAATTACACAACTGGTGCTGCAAGTTAAGATACCAAACAACATGTTATAAAATACTAGACTTAATATTAAACTGACTGACAGACTCACTTCTGTGTTATATCCACAAATAAAGGTCAAGTATACTTTATCATCACAGTTTTTATAGGTACCTTCCAGAAAGACTAGATTCTGAGAAGCTGAATCTATTTTTATGAAATTAATGTTGACAATACCATTGGATGACTGAGATTACACTGAATAATAATTACACACGGAGAAAAATTTCCTTGCACCTTCTGATAACGTCATATATAATTTTTGCAATAACACTTATGCTATACACAAGAAATATTTATCCATAGCCTTATACTATGTCCTTGCAATCCACAAGTAATGAAAGTAATATAACTGTGTTTACTATTTATACATATCAAATAAGTTTTTGTGGCTCTATGTGAAATATTACTACATTAATTATGCCATAATATTGTGTTTACAGAAATTTGTTTTTCATCACATTACAAGTGTTCCTGGGAGTAATTTTCATACACATAATAACTATTAAAAATTTCAGCTATTAAAAATTTCAGAAGTAATACACAATTTAGCATTGCAAAAGCTTAATACAAGAAATGAAATCATCATTCTAAAAAAAAAAAAGATTATCACACCAAATTTCTACACATGTCTAATACTGAAATTTTTTATTTATGTCTGAATGAAAATTCTGGCACATTCTTTAAAACCAAAATATTTTATAAATAAAAATTATACTTTTGAGGACAACTTTAAATTTTTCTCTCCCTTAAGGACACAAGAGTTGGCTAGTCTTGAGATATAATCAATATTTCCCCGACATCTCTTCTAATGAAGCAATACATATTAAATTAAATATGCTTTATCTGTTCCAAAGTGTGCTGACTGACATTTAAAGACTAGCATTCTGTAAAATATTTTTCCTATAAGAAATCCATTTCATATTTAATGAAAATGTTTTTATGTTATGTAAGTGACAGCAGCATGGGTTTACCTTGAGTTTTAATTCTGGCCATTTCCTTCACTTCATATTTAACTCTCTCAATACGGGCTTGGTCAATTTGACTGGCCATGTGACCTCTTTGTACTCGTTTAAAGTCTTTATAGATTTAATACATATAACTTTCAATATAGCATGTATATCTCCACAAAATTTGGCAGTGAAGTATTTTTAATAAAATAAAATAAAAAATTTGTCTACGAATATATTGTAGTA